GTGAGGGAAGCGTGGAGGCAAAGGTCACTTCCCTGCACATGTGCAGGTGATTCCAGCCCTCAATATGCAGCACTTCGGAGCAGGAAAGGAAGAAGTTGAGGTGCCTCCAACCAGGTTTTGTACCCTGCAGGCACCCATCTGCCCCTCTCCCCTGTACTACCCAAGGTCATTCTTGTGACCCCAGGGAAGCAGCTGGTGCAGCTCTTTCCCTTTCCACTGCAGGCAAAAGAGTGGAATCCAAGTGGGGATTCCCAACTTCAAGACTGAAGGAGATTTTCCAACTTGATAGGTGGGACTATGAAAACTCCTACACACCTGAATGTGTCAAGCTGCAACAAGGCTTTAATTTTCTTCCATCAAATATTTTGGGACAAACACTTGTGGTATGTTGGAGCAAAAAATGAACATGAAGGACGTTAGCCTTGTCTACTAAATATAGTATGCTAAGTTAGATCCCTTGAAAGGTATGCAATTTGTGGTCCTCCTGGAGTTTTGATCTACAGAATAAAAACACGACTCAAGGTGCTGGGAATTATAATTTTATCTTCAAAAAAGCCTGATACATTTCAGCCTCAAACACAATAGAAACAATGCACAAAATCAATGCACAAACAACAGCATATATATTCAATACAAATATACCTTTGTACTTTAGAATTGCCCAAGTTCTGAAACTCTATCTCTTCAGCTCAACAACTAGCAGGTAAAATTATTATTAAATTATCAGATTAAATATCTCTTACATGGGTGAGGGCGGTCGCTTACTCAGGTGCTAGCAATTTCAAAGAGATACGTCCAGAATGTTCTGAGTTATCTAATGCACATTTTTCCTATGTAGTTATCTAATTGCACAGAAAACAAAGGAAGTGTCAGCAAAGAAAAAAGTTAAATTACAGTGGAGGAAAGGAAACCAATTCCTCATTAAATCCTTATGTGACAAAGGCTTTTATCCTTAGAATCCACACCATTTCCTTTCTATATAGGAAGATTTCATCTTCTGTGAGTTTTTCTGCTCCCCAGAATCTCACATCCAAAGCAACATGATTTTCCAGATGTTTTCACTGATGGTTCCCATCAGCTTCAGCCAGCATAGCCAATGAGTTGTAGGCCAAAACCTCCACTCCTTGCCCATCCCTGCTTTAGGATCTCAGAATGTTTCCAATGCCAACTGAAATGTTCCCTATGAATGACCTTAATTTGTACTGGAAAACGTTTCTGAAACAGACAATTTTTCCTATGCAAATAGCCCTATGCAAATTAGCCTAACCTAATTTACATTATTCCTGGATATTATTCCAGGAAAAATGCAATTCAAAATTTTATGGAAAACCCACCTCACTGGTGCAGTCCAACTCATCTGGAGGCATCAAGTTGGGAAAAGCTGATCCAGTGCAAAGATAGGTGAGCTGATATGGCACCCCCCACATATTTCAGAGCACAGCTGCCATCATTCTGACCACAGTTATGCTGGCTGGGGCTGATGGGAGCCGTAATTCCAAACATTCAGAGGTTTGCCTACCCTAACCAAGTGATTCCATAAAGGAGGCACAATTCAAAGCAGGGGCTTCCTGATTCACTGCTCAGCCCTTAAGCTATGGCAGCTCTGGAACACAGATGAATGGATGCAGAGCAATTTGCTGTGAGTCTGCAGTTTGGGAAGACACTGCCATCTATATTTTATGTGCATTAATCGCTCAGGCACTATACTATGGAGAATGGCAGGTAATGAATATCAAGTACCAAATATCGAATATTGCCTGTCAAATAGCAGTGATCAAATATAAGCCATGAAATAGTGAAAGATAATACTGAGTGTCAATATTAAACATCAAATATGAATGAATACATTTGCAGTCTTTGACAAATACCTGGCTCCAGGACTTTACCATGGTCCATCCATGGTCCATTGTTTCAGTTCCTATACAAACACAAACAATACAGTACAGTTTGGGGAAATCCTATCAACAATGTGGTGGTGGCGGGGGGGGGGGGGGGATCCACTCTTTTGAACTGAGCCTACACTCGTGGGCTAGCCCAGAAAGACAACCAATACCCAGCTGCCTCCCCCCACCCCCTGGGTAATCATTAGCAATCAGACCACAAAACCCCCCTCTTGCCTGCAGAGTTGCTGTCTTCACTAATCCCAGTGGGAGGATATTTTTCTATTTGATTGATTCACACAGCCAGGGCCACAAGACATTCAGGAGTTGGTGAGGAAATGGAGGGGAGAAGCTGCTGAATAATTGCTAGATCAAGGGCAGAATTTCAGAAATGCACCATTGGATTCATTTAATGAAAAGAATATTTGATAGAGATGAATAAATTAACCCAGCCAAGGACAGCCACAGTTTTCAAGCAGTAATATGATGTTGTTATGTAGGTCATGTGGCTCAAGAGGCAACAGCTTCACACATAACTAACATTTCTTGCCCACCCCACCCTTCAGCTCTCTTGGATGATCAGTCAAAGAGTCTTTGACTCACCATTTTGACGTTTCAAGGGCCAAACTTAAAGCTCTTGAGGGTTGCATTCGAGAGGTGGGCAGGGCATATGGCATAGGGCAACAGGGATGGGACAAAGAGTACAACTGCTGCCACCCACAATATATGGATGAAGCTAAACAGGTCCTGGGCTGGCCTGAGCTTGGAGGGGAGGCCCCCTGGGAATCACGTGTAGTCGCTTTGAGTTCCACAAGGGCAGAAAGGTGGGATACAAATGAATGAATGAATGAGATGCCACATTGACCATCAAGGTTCCTGTATCTTTATTTCAGCAAATGCCATGGATAGCAGGGTGGTGGGGCAGATGGTCTCCACAGATCTGGGGCTCCACATGAATGATTCAGGGCTCTGGTCTTAGCAGGACATTCCCTAACATGGTCTCTTGCCAGAATTGCTGTTTGCTGCTCCAGCCCGGCAGTGCTTCGCCAGGAGCTGTCCGTGGTGCTGACTCCCGACACCTTATCCCAGACTGTTGCTGTGCTTCACTGCCAGAGCACTTTGGCTATTGGGCAGTATATAAATGGATGGATGGATGGATGGAACCACAGCTAGGCAACTCCAGGACAGTGGGGTATTACACAGGCCTTACTTTCCTAAAAACCATTTTGCATTCATTTGTGTTGCTCTTACTGCTGTGTATTATTGTAATTTTGTCGCTCTGTGCTGTTTTAATTTTGTTACCAACTTGGGCATACACATTTATTCAGTGATTACATTTCGTTGCTGTCCAATAGCCAGAGCTGTTTGGGCAGTTTATAAAGATTTAAAACCTCAATAATACAGCATTATGCATAATATAAAAACCAGTTTAGCTACAAACACATACACAGCAGATACGTATGCACATCTACACATTATTATAATTATATTATATTTATACCTTGCCTTTCTTCCTCTTGCAAGCAACCCAAAGTGGTTTAAGAATCTGAACAACATCCCATGACCTGATTGAAAACCTCTCATAGGCTCTCGCATAAACACCAAGAGAAATACATTTTGTGCATAAATAAGGAAACCTATGTCCAGCGGTAGCAACTCTGTTGTCATCACTTGCGGGGGGGGGGTGTGCATCTAATGAGTTTGGTACATTTAACATAGCAACGTACTCCTTTCCCCTATTGGGATCCATCCCATGGCATGTGGTGGTGGCAGCAGAATCCACCCTAAAGGGGCTAGCAGTTTTGAGGTGTCTTTTATTTGGAGCATGGCCTGGTTGCACACACTCCCCTGGTTGCAATTTTTATTTGGAAATCAGACACATTAAATGCAACCATTCAGAATTTGGAATGCTGGTACTAAGATGAAACTGGCTCATAACTGTGTGAGTGAAAAACAGTGATTTGGGAATACCATTGCTTGCAGATGGGTACTATTAGTTACATTTCAGAATCATAAATTTCTAAAACAATACTCATACTTAATCTCTTTTTTCATTAATGAGAAGTTGGTATTTCTAGATTTTTGGAAAGACTATTGTATAATCTTTATTGCAAATATTCCCATACATAAGGCCAACTAATCATGATGATTCACCATGATGGGGTGATGGAGCTCCCCAAGCACCCATGAGGAACAACAGATGATTGAGCTCACTGTTGGTGCTTTGCTTCCCCTGCTCCTTCCCCTTCGTTCCTCCAGCAGAATCCCAGGGACCCCACAAAGAGCAATGAACTTCCTCTCCCGATGGCTACAATCACACTGCCCCATTGTGCAGACAGGACTTAAATCGAAGTGATGGAGAAGTCTTCCCTAAACTCTGCCCTGTGCTAGGGCAGCAGTACAGAGAGGAAATGTCATCCCAGCCAGCTGTTCAAGAGCAAATCTCTTGAGCAACAGGTGAAGAAGCATGATCCACTCCATTCCACCACCCTGAGCACTGGAAAGTGGTGTGAAGAAAAAATGTCATCACCACCTTCTTTCAGGCAAAAAGACCCTAGTTCCATGCAACAGAGTGGCACAAGGCAGAGCTGGTCTATTCTTCTAGCTGGAAAGGTCTCCTCTCAAGCTGGTGGCACAGATGACAGCTTCATCCTGTGCTACCAACCTGGGCTTAAGATGGCAGCATGGAGTTGCCAGCTCAAAAGGAGACCTCTCTAGCTAGTGACACTGGGAAGTCCAATCCACTCCATACAGAGAGCACCATGCCACCGGTTGCAGAGGTCTCCTCTTGAGCCAGTGGCACAGATTGCTCCTTGACACTGGCTGGGTTCACACATAAGGCAAGCCATGCTGGAGATTGCCCATTGTCACATGTGAATGTAACAAGCATGGTGAAGTGCTGCCGGTTTCATTACCGTGAATCCCTATGGAGAGCCAGCAATCTGTTCTCAAGTTTCTGTGCTCATTATGTGTGACTTGGTTTCCACATTTCTGACAGTGAATTTGGCGTCAAGAACAGTCACGATAGCACAGTCACTCAAGCTGCCATTTTCCACTGGCCTGTTCTGCCTAGCAACTGTTGAGTTTCCAGAAGCAGGAAACTGATTGGCTACCTCCATGCTCCCTTTCCTCCCTGCCAGGATGCATCAACCAAATGCCTAGCACCCAGTTGCCATGATGCCTCACCTCACAACCTCACCACAATGCCTCCTTCTCACCTCACTGTGGTGCCCCATCTTGCCTCACTATTTTGCCATGTTGCCCCATCTTGTCTCACTGCCTTGCCAGGATTCCCCGTCTCATTGCATCACCTCATTGTGATGACCTGTCTCACCTCACTGCCATGCCGTCTTGCCTCCTGAGATGGGGCATTGCAGAGACGTGGTGATAATGCAAGGCAAGACAGAGCATGGTGGTGAGATGAGATGGGGCATTGTAGAGAAGCAAAACAGGGTATCACAGCGATGCAAGATGGGGCATCATGGCAGTGTCTCAGTGAAACATCATCATGGCAAAGCAGCTGGGCACCAAGCCCTATTAACACAGTAAGAATGAATTGTTGCAACCATGAAAGGGTTTGCATTGCCCTACAACCAACCAAAGAACAATAGTTAATTCTTGTTTGCCATGTTAGGCAAACCCAGCCACTGTCTCATCTAATTTGGTGTATACATGCCAAATTTTGCTTTCCAAAGCACTGATCCCCTGAGCATGACAAAAGGGTGGTGATAGGTTGGGCCAGGAGAGTGAGTCTGGTGCTGAGGCACAAAACAAGGCAGAATCAGATGAGTCATTGTTGGAGCCAGGGTAGACTCTAGCAGCACATGAGGAGCTTAAACAAGTGCCAGGAGATGGAGGCAACAGCAAATAAAGAAATAAATGACACTGATGGTAGGTTCTGAAAAACCAGTAAAACTTTTTCAGAACAAAAACTTACAGTTCAGTCCAGTAAAGTCAGATCTGATTGGTAATCTGGGATTGGTGCACAAAGCACTATCTGTTCTCACCGAATCCCCATGCTAAACTGGAGCAGTGGCCACAACTGAGGAGCAGGTACTCCAGATCCAAAAGGATCTGGACAGACTATGGAAGTGGGCAAGAGACAACAGGATGGCGTTCAATGTGGATAAGTGCAAGGTCTTGCACTTGGGGCACAGGAATAGGTGTCATAAGTACAGATTAGGGGACAAGTGGCTAGAGAGCAGCACTTATGAAAGGGACCTCAGGGTACTGGTTGACTGCAGGCTAAACATGAGTCAGCAGTGTGATGAGTCAAGAGGGCAAACGCCACCCTTGGTTGCATAGCCAGAAGTCTGGCTTCTAGGTCAAGAGAGGTATTACTACCACTCTACACGACTCTGGTGTGCCCGCAACTGGAGTATTGTGCTCAGTTTTGGGCTCCTCATTACAGAAGAATATAGCCAGGTTAGAGTCAGTGCAGCGTAGGGCCACAATGGGGTATGAGGCAAGACTGAGGGAACTGGGTCTCTTCAGCCTGGAGAAGAGGAGACTCAGAGGGGATATGTTGGCGACATACAGGTATGTGAGGGAATGTCACACGGAGATGGGTAGAGACCTGTTCTCCCCTGCAGAGGAAGGCAGGACGTGCTCCAACGGAGCAAAGCTCAGGGAGCCAAGGTTCCATTTGGATGCCAGGAAGCACTTCGTGACAGTCAGGACCCCGAGGGTGTGGAATGGGCTTCCACGGGAGGTCATTGAGGCCCCATCGGTGAGGGTGTTCAAGGATAGGCTGGACGTGCACATGGTGGGCATGTCGTGAGCGGAGCCGGCTGGTGCCGGAGGTCAGACTAGATGGCCCGGGTGGCCCCTTCTGACTCGCTCTGTTTCTATGTTTCTATGGTACTAACCCCATCTCATGTGCTCAGTGAACTACATGGGAAACTAGAGACAGTGGCCTGGAAAATAATCTAAGGGATGGTTCTGTCCCAGTGCTAACAGTACTGTGTATAGGACAGGTGGGGAAGCCGTGGATGTTGTTGGACACCAACTCTCATAATCCCTGACCATGGGCAACGCAGCCTGGAGCTGATAGGAGATGGCGTTGGTCAACATCTGCAGGGCCACACATTCCCCGCCATATTTACACCGTGCAGCTGCCAATGCCAGGTTTGGTGACTCCCAGGGTTAACAATGGCAGGCTCATCTGAGGAGCGGTGCAAAGAAATACACAGAGAACAAAGATTTGTACTGAGAAGGACACAGAACTCAGCCAGCAGTGGGGATGCTGAGATGGGAGGGAGGCGGATAGTTGTGGGCATGCCCTTGCACCCTGCCCCCAGCAGCATTCAGAGGATTTCATTCAGAGAAGGATTTTTCAAGAAGCCAAAGCATGCCCAGTGAGTGCTGTTCTATCTCAGGGCCCTGCAACATCCCCGGTGTTCATCCTGCACCCATTACATGGCAAGGCCTTTCCCGTCCCTTTGAATGCTCTTCCGCTGCTATGCAAAGAGGATGACAGGCAGCCTCGGGCTTCTGCGGCTTGGAGGACATGCTCTTCAGCCCTAATGAGATTGTGTGGTGCCAGCGCCCTCCGCCTGGAGGTTTGCTCTGCAGCTAGAAGCCTCCAGCCCATAACTGTCAGCTCAGTAATCCAAGAAGTCACCAGCCACTTCCATTCCTTCTGCCCACGGCTTCTGGTGTTCATTTTAACTGGAAAATCTGCTTGTAGCTCCATGTTCCCATGTGAGCGCCTGTGTGTGGATCAGACAGATGCAGCAACCCTGGCTGTGCTTTTTCCACTTCTCAGAACATATATGCAAAGTTGGGCAACCGTTTTCCCATAAGCAGCTGCATTCCCTCATGAGTAACCTGTTGTGGGCACAGTTCAACAGCTTGAGGGGCCACAGCCAGCAGTAGGTCATTCTTCTCTTTCTGCTCCCTCCTTTTCTCTTTGTTTCTCTTCCATCCCTCTTTATCTCTCTCCCTCTTCTTCATCATAAAACACTACACAGATGCACACAAATCATGCAGTCAATGGCAGTCAAATAGCTATAAAAACAGCAATATTACCACCAGTATGTGTTTAACACCCTTCAGTCTCATGTAATATCCTTCAATAAATAAAAATATTCAGCACTAGATCAAACAGCAGCAGTGTCATTTTCTTTCAAGAAAAAGTAATGAAACAAATTGACCTTTCTCCACTGCTGACCCCATGTGTGAAATTCTGTTCCTGAAAATGGGTATTACACTATATCTCTTTTTCCTGTCAAATCTCTCCTGAAAACCCGTTTCCTGTACTGCCCTTGGCTTACCCCTAGAGTAGGGGAAGCTGTGATTCTCCAGATGTTGTTGGAATATACCTCCCATTATTCTTGACCACTGGCTATGCTGTCTGGGTCTGATGGAAGTTGGAGTCCAGCAACAGCAGGAGAACCTCAGATTCTCCATTCCTCCTCAACCCCTTAATCCCACCCCTCTTCCTCCTTGCCTTTTCCTCTTTCCGCCAGATGATTTCCCCCATAGACCTGATCTGCGTGGTCACTGCAGCATCCACTGGCACCAGGTTGCTGATCATGCTCTCACCAGGACTTCTCATGTCCTCCAAACCCAACAGAGAAGGATTAGCAGGGAGGGTTTGGAGACCGCCTCACAACCCTGCACTAGGCCATGAACTCTAGATGGTTTATCAGGATGGGACAAGGACCCACACATGGTGAGGATAATTGGGGAAATGGGCTGGCATGCAGAGGGATGGTAAACAACCCACTGTGGCTTATTAACCACCACTGTGTCATGCAAACCAGGCCACTGCCTGTTCGAGAGTGTAAGCTCCAGGAGAAGGAAAACCTTCCTTTGTCATGTCTCAGAGTGGCAGGAGTGATTCCAGAGCATCCTCAAGACTACATTCATGGTGCCCGTAGAGGTGCACTTCCACTCCCACTTCTTGTTTTAATAGCACTTCTTCTGACTGGCAGCTGGGATCACTTCAAAGCAAAATGAGAGCCCCTGGCTGCTTCTGTTTTCTTTTCCCATGAATGCCTGCACACCACACATGGAGCTCTTAAGAAACAAAGATGGAAGGTGGGTGCAGGCCAATGTTATCCTCTGTGGTATAACCCATTTTGTGGTGGTGCCAAAGATTGTTTCTCAAATTGGCAACTGTGCCCATGGGTCCAAAGGGGTCACTTGTCCCGTGTTCAACTTGCAGGATCTACTGTATTTTTCATGAGAACCCCAAAGTCCTCTTGCACAGGAGCTTGATGCAAAATAGTGGCTTAAGAAGAAGGGCACAGAAGTGTGGAATAAGCTGCCTCTCATTCCATGTTCAGATTAGGATGATTTTTTTCAGTACCAGAACTGGAGCTTGCACATGGATCTGTTTATATACAAATCTACCCCTATTTCCCTCCAAGTGTTCTTAGTTAAGATGAAAACAAGGCCTTATGTTGTCACTATTGTTAAATCATCGGTGTCGGGAATGATTTGCTAATCCATCACAAATCACCCAGAGATCCACAACTAGAACCAGATCTACCTTCTGCCCACCCCTGTTGTAAAATGGGATGTTCTGATGGTGCTGCATTACTATCAACATCATCGTTATTAGGCTATCTCACAATTCTTACACAAGAGTGTACTTTCCCCATGATGTAAAAATTACCTATCTGCTTACATCTCCTACACACAAACACATGCATGTTTCAGGTCATTAGAGTAATTTGGGATTGATGAGACGAGAAATGATGAGATTATATAGCCTATCTAATTGCAGTAATGTGCTCTTTAAATATTGAAGAGTTTCATTCAGTACTCTTGGGGCACTGTAAATGGTAGGCACTTTTAACCAGTGCACACATGCTGGTCTAGGCTGATCCAGAGGGCTAGACTGGTTGCAACAGAAATCATGAACACAAAGAATTTTATGTCTTGAAAGCTCCTTATAATTCATCTAGCCTAACCCCAGCTCAGTGCAGGAATCTTGCAAATGTAGCTGTCCAGCCACTGTTTAAATACCTCCAGAGAAGGAGAGCCCACCACTTCCCAAGGCAGTCTGTTCCATTGTCTCTGGCCATTAGGAAGTCTTTCCCTGCTTGAATCAGCTCCATCTGAATTTCTTCCCATTGGTTCTAGCCCTGCCCTCTGAAGCAAAAGAAAACTCTGTTCCATCTTTTTCATGACTCCCCTTCAGAAATTTGAAGACCTGCTATCATGGCTCTCCTTAAGGTTCTCTAGACTCAGTACAGCCAGCTCTTCCTCATACAAAGAGGAGCCCTCTAGAAATGAGGGCCTGCTAGAAGAGGAGGAGGAGCTTGGGAAGGGGTGGCAATGGGTTGGGGAAACTGAGTGCACTTATGGAATGCGCTCCCCAGAGAGGTCTGCCTGGTGCCGTCATTATTTGTTTTTTGGCGCCAGGGCAATACCTTTTTATTTAAACATTATTTTAATTAATTGCCAACTTATTTATTGGTTTTAAATTATTGCCTGGATGTTTCCAGTTTTTTATGTATTGTATTGTTATTTATTTGTTGGAAGCCGCCCCAAGGCTTATGAGAATGGGGCGGCATACAAGAATCCCAAATAAATAAATAAATAAAATAAACTGCATGCTGGATTGCGCCTGTAAAGTGGAGGTGGCCCTACCCTGCACAAGACAGAAAATCAGCCGTAGTCCACTTAATACAAGAAGTTGCAGGGTTTAGGCTTACACAGTCAGCTCTGTTGATCAACAGTATTCTGTGGCCAGCTGTAAAATATTGGTTCAAAAAGGCAGGCACATATTTGGACAACTAAGTGCCACTGAATACACTCTCACTCCAGGATTTGCCTCAGAACCAAAACATGAGCTCATACACAAATTCTTTCAGATACAAATCTGCTCCTGTTTCCACCCGAGCTTTCTTAATTTCAGCAGTAATTTTGTTCTAATATTACACGAAGTCAGAAACCTCTGCTGGTCCACAGCAAATTACCCAGAGACCTGCTAAAAGATCCTGACCTACCTTCTGCCCATCCTTGATTTAGTGTGTTTCAAAAAAAAATGCTGCCTATTATGGTTAATTTTTTCATCATCATCATCAAAAACATTCATGCAAAATGGTTAAAGCACTGGTCTGCCTGGCGCTGATTAGATAAAAGGTTGAGCTGAGTTTGGTTGCTGCATTTTTAGCATGCCAGAAAACTCAAGAGCAGGAGTAATAAGTTGAAGCTTTGGAACATATGGCATTTGTTAGGAATGGATGAGTGAACAGGACATCTATGGGGTGGGGGAATGAAGCAATTACAAGAAAAACAGTGATATTGCAAGAATCTAAAAGAATGTCATGAAAAAAGGAACAAATGTTTACATAGGCCCTTGGCGGGAGGGACATGTAGCAATGGATTCAAGCTACGGTAAAGCATATTAAGGAAACCGCTTCTGACAAATCGGCATATGAGTATAGGCAGCTGCCTCATCTAACTCCATCATTTTCACTCCAGCAGCAGTTCTCCAAGGCCTCAGGCCAAGCCCTTTCCCGGACTTTCTACCTGAGAGACCTTTTTATTGGAGAAACCAGGAATTAAACTGGAATATCTGCATACAAAGCAGGTGCTCTGCCAGTGAGCCACAGCTGAGGAAATACAGATGTTGTAAAATCCACCCCATCTACATTTCACAGATTGTCAGGCACCTTTCATTCTCCTGTCTACTCATTGACAGAATCAGATTTTGTGCAAATGCATTCAGATGAACTGTGCACATTCACACTCCCACCACCTCACACTCCCCAAAATGTGCAAATCCCATATGGGGGAAATGCACACTCTTGGCCAGTATCTTTTTAAATATTTCTATGACTAAATTTGTGCACAATGATAAAAAACAGAAATAAAAAAAGGTCCGCAACTCTGCAGAATAAAAGAATCCAGCCTGCTGTATAATCTGCGGGCTGAATTCTTAAAAATGCCAACTTTTTTGAGTCCATTGCAGATTTCAGTCACATCCCTCATTACTAGCCGCTTCCCCCAAGGAAACATGTGGAATCACCAGGGCTGGAGGTGAGTTTAGGATGATGACAGATGGGCTTTTGTCATGAGTCGTTTAAGTCTGGGCAGGGCTCCCGAGCTTTCGGCAGATGTGCAGTTTGCTAGACAATTCTCCTGACACAAAGATACAGTGACGGGGAAAGCAGCACCCACTGAGCTTTTAGCTCTCTAACTATTTCTCTAATGCCCCACAGCCAAAGTTCTCTGTGCCCTCTTGGAGAACAGGAGTCCTGACATAAACAAACAGGTAGCAGTCCTTGCTAAAACCATCCTGTTACTGAAGCATGGAGCTCAGATACATGAGCCAGACAAAGGCATTTCCATCCATGACCTATTCTTACCTGCCAACACTCAGATGTTCAATACCATAGACACCACATAAGCACCTTAAAATCGTGAGATGTTTTTCTTCCTGCCATTTGACTACTTTAAAAAAAAAAATGAGTTTCAAGGTGAGAGCCACTGTGATATAGTGGTCAGAGAGCTGCACCGAGACTCAGAAGATAAAGGTTACAGTCTCCCCTTGGCCATGAAACTCACTGGATGTCTTCGGGCCAGTCACGAACTCCCAGCCTCACCCACCTCACAGCGCTGTTGTGAGAATAAAATGGCAGTGGAAGAGGATTATGTGAGTCACCTTGGATTTCTTGCAAGAGAAAAATAAGGGAGGGGGGTTTCCATACAATAAAAATAAAAATAAAGCACGGACATCTTTAAATGGTCATTTCCATTCCAGACCAGCAAATTCTATGATTTTCCTTCAGCAAAGATCTCTTCTCCTTAAGTAAGGCAATTCTAAGTTAAATCTCATCTGTGAACCATGAATTTAAAGGTCCACTCCTTTAGACACAAGAACACCTACAACTCCCAGAATGCTCCAGACAGCTGTCAGCATTTGTTTTGACGGTCATTCTACATTCCACATGCTCTTAAATGCAACTTGAAGATTTGGGTCCACAACTCCTTTCAGGGAAAAATGGGTATGTTTTTCCTCCCAGAAATCTTTGTTAAAACTAAGCATGTCAACACTCGATCAAGAGATAGCTTTGTTTAACTCTACAAATGTTAACATTGTTAAGTCAGGAGCTATGGCAACAGTTTAAAAAATTGTAAGCTTCCCTGAAAGCAGATCTAGAACAAGTCTTCTCCACTTAAAACGGTAGCAGATTTTGTTGTGGTGTACACTTTTGTGGCCACAATAAATCTGTGCGGGTCTTTAAAGTGCTGCAAGACTCAGGGGACAAGACTGTCCCTCCAGAATGTGTTCTTCACTTGCTAAACAGAAGGAAGGGAAAGTGGCACATTTGGAAGACCATCTGATGTTATTTGACTGAGACATAGGCCATTGTCAAAGAAGTGCCAAAAAGTAGTATTAGAGGCAGAAAGTCATCTTGGTGTGCATTCTCAAGGCCTGCTGGCTGGACTTTGGGGAGGGGGGGCTTGGAATGTGGGCCAGTTCCAGATGTTGACATGAGAGAAGTGGAGGCACTTATCTCCAGGTCAGATTCCCAGGTGCTCCAGCAGCCTCTGGGAATGACCAGTATGTACAGCTATTGGGAGGCGACTTGGAACAGGGGACTTTCTCAGAGACAGATGAGGCAGACGTGGCTCTTCACCCCATGATGTGACAGAGGAGAGCAGCCCAATCAAAGGATCAGCATGCAGAGAAGAGGCATGCTTGTTTTAAGAAGGCCGTTCCCAAAATGCCGGGGCCCAGGAGGTTCCTAAGGAAAGTTCCTGATGGTGAATACTAGATTGGGTTCAACAAACAGATTCATTCTGGATGTTTGTTCTTCTGGAACATGCTTTGGTCAATAAAACATGTGTTGCAAGAAAGGTCTGTGGCTTTTAATGTGTGAAGGGAGGACACTGCCTCATAATGAAACAGAGATTTGGTCCATCTGCATTATCATCACGGTGCCAGCAGTGGGGAACCTTTTTCAGTTCAAGGGCTTAATTCCAACCTGGGAATGGTTTTGGAGCTGCATTCCATCAACCAGGGGGCGAAAGGGGCATTTTAATCTGACGCGTTTT